TGAGACTGGTTCATATAGAGGACCAGGACTTCCTCCACCTCTGGTACATCTACATTTGATGACACTGATCTAAAAATGAACTATGTTTTGAATTATGAATATCAGCTAAAACTCAGTCTCGAGTCTCAGCTGATGGGAGCTCGTGCCTCAGAGGATGATCAGGTTTTGTCCCGCCCCTGAGAGGAGGGAGCGTCCCGGGGTTGGAGGACGCTGTCGTGCTAAAAACATTTCCCGCACCTCCATTCATTAGTGACAGCAAGCAGCCGAACGGGCACTCCCCGTTACCTCAACCCAACCAACTGGACTGCGCTCTGTGCTCATCGCGGCTGCTGATTACTGTGTGTTCATTACAGTCTGTGCATGAGGACCGGATCGGACCGCAGCTTTGGGACTAATAAACCGGGACACCTTCTATTCCAACATGGAGTTTGAAAGCATGATGGCGAATAACACGCTTATTAAAGCCAGAGAAGGTGAGAGGCTGTGCTTCTTTCTACAGAATTAAAGTTATTTTGTCACTGCTTTAAAGTAGCTTTAATAAAAAGACATGCAACAGGATGTCTCATGCATTTTATTTCATCTTTAATATATTCATATTAGATCAGACAAGAGGCTGACTTTAACACGTGCTGCATTTGGTTTTAGATCAACACATTTTAAGATACTTCTCTGATTTCTGTCTCACTCTTCATGACATCATCTGTGTTGGATCACAGGTGTCTGGTTGGGTAACGTGAGGACGGTGACGTCTCTAAACAACATGTTGAAAGATGAGAAATTACGAAAACTGATCCCAGATTACAAACATCTTAATGCAGAAGATTTTAAAAAAACCCTCGAGCATCAGAAACATTTCTCATCGAAGTGAAATATTATTAAATTCTCCCTGAAATTCCATGAATGTTCTGTGCAAAGAACTTTTCTTTTGTTTGTAAACAAATTTTGTTTTGTGAAAAAAATCGCGATGTGACGTTGAAGTGACATCATGGCCATCAAAGCAAGTCTGCGGAGCAATGCGGTCCCACAGGCTCTGCTTACCTGTTCCTGCAGCTATTAATAGATCATTCTCAGTAGTGGAACATACTATTGTCTGAAAACCCGACGGGCTGGGCACGCAGAGCTGCAGATGCATGCGTGCTGATGACAACACTGTTGATGATCGACGTGTAACTCTTGAGCTTTAAGGCCGAAACTAAAGGTTTCATTTTGCGTTCCTGCAGGAGGAGGAAGTAAAGGCAGGAGCTTCAAATGGAGAGACATGCTGCGTTTCCCTCACATCAGTCAGTGTGTGGACCTGGACATAGGTGTGTGTGTGTGTGTGTGTGTGTGTGTGTGTGTGTGTGTGTGTGTGTCATAAGTCCATTCATGTTTGTGGGTTTGCTGCATGAGTTCACGTCCTGTTCTGTTGCTCCATCAGAGCGAGACTACCACAGTCTGTGTGTGAAGCAGCCGATCGGAAAGAAACTGTTTCAGCTCTTCTGCCGGAGTCGAGCCGATCTGCAGAACTACATCTCCCTGCAGGATGCTCTGGTACACTGACCGCGCAGCATTGAACACTTAGAGAGACTGAGACGAACGCCTGCTCACGTGAACTGTAACACACATTACAAAATGTTGTATTATATGAAGAGAAGTCATCGAATGTGGGAGGAAATTGTGCAGCTAAATTCATCGTTGCATTGCAGGAAAAGCTTTTTGAATTAAGTTCAGTCACACTGAGATCTGAGTGCGTAATGCAAAATGGGCTAAAACATCTAAAACATTTATGGAATAACTAAAAAAGGAGAAAAATATGCAACATGAAGACGGCTGTCACGTAAGTAAAAACTGTTAAATTATAAACTCAGTTTAAGACTCGGTGAGGACAGCATCCTCTGTAGTTCACATTTACTCAAGTTCTTGATGATACATAAACTATGAAACGTTTGTTTGGAGGAGAAAGGATGTTGGACGGACTTCTTTTTAATAAGCGCAGATAAGAAGCGTGTCTTTGATACTAAAGCAGATATATCGTTTTCTAACGTCGACACTGAATGTGATCGCTGCAAAAACAATATTAGTATTAATGACGCGGTAACCAATATCTATCCAGGATATCTTGGCGCTGGATAAAGCGTACTGACCTGTGCACATTCGTGCTCTGCTTGTCTCCTTCGTCTCCTTTAGGACGCCTTTGAGACCAAGTCAGATGAGGAGAGGAGAGATTTCGGCTTCAGCATCATTCAGAGATTCCTCTGGAGTCAGGTCTGACAACAACACAGAGAACATGCTTAACAAATGAAATGAAACACTTCCTGTCTTAACGTCTCCGTCCATGTCCCCTCAGTCCAACCATTGCGTGTCTGTCGTGCAGCAGCATGAACAGAGCTGCAGCCAGAGTCTGGAGCTCGACCCCTGCATGGACGTCTTCCATGACTGCAGGGAGTAAGTTCACACAAGCTCTCTCTGTTTACAGGTGTGCATTATTTATTTATGTTAAAGACAAAACCAACTACTCTGCTTTGTGTATTAGAAACCTACACGAATACCTCTGTGGAGAGCCATTCATCCAGTACCAGGACAGCATGTTCTTTGACCGTTTACTACAGTGGAAGATGCTGGAGAGGTCAGTGTGTGTGTGTGTGTGTGTGTGTGTGTGTGTGCGCAAGGAACAAGGAAACAAAACACGTGTGGTGGTTGGTTGTGTAGCTGGTTTATCGGCTTGTACTTGAAATGTTCCGTTTTTTGTTTTTTGTTCAAACGTATCAATTGAGAATGAAAAGAACAAGCTGTGTTTCTCCTCAAGGCAGCCCATCACCAAGCAGACCTTCAGACAGTACAGACTTCTGGGGAAAGGAGGGTTTGGAGAGGTAAGCCTGCTGTCACCGGATATTTCTGTTTGATATCACTTTAAGCGTTGCTTCACACAAATGAAAGATGTCGATATATAATTTCATTTACCTCTTGTGGGATCAAATTATTTTGGTTTTATTTGTCAGGGTTGTAAGATATCCGTTTCTACTTTGACCCACAATAGATTCTTTTTGTCATTAACAAAACTCAACGGCAGCATGTTTTTTCCCATAATCAGTATCCCTGTTGTTACCAGAAACACTGAGTGATATCTCAGAACCTGCGCTCATAAAACCAGAACTATCTGCGAGGCTTGACATCCCTTCGGCCCACGAGCATCATTTTCAGACAAACAGAAGCTGTGCTAGCGAGTTGCTGGGATCAGCGTCTTTCAGGACGACCTGAGCCGTTTAATGAGATGCTCTTTCTATAAGTCGACTCAAAACAACCGCTACTGCTGCGAACATCTCGTCCTCGTCCATTCAGCTTTTCTGTTAACTATCTATATCAACTAACAGCAACAACTGTCGATCTAAGAACACAAAAGATAATGAAAATACACAAAATAAGGAATTGCTACCTTAACGTGGAGGAGTGTGTGTGACTCTGGGAGTTGTGTTCTCGGGGGCGATAGCTCCTGGAAGGGTCTCTGAAGGCCAAGTGGTGTCAGACGATTTACTGACCCGATATGAATGGTCTAGAAAGGAGAATGAACCAGATGTGGTGTGGGAGGTGGAGCGGCATCACATCCACCCATAACATTGGTTCTGGAACCAAACTCCCGGAGAGGGGCTGGACTCTCGCCTTTTGTCAGAAGTTGCCCAGTGTGAGAGGCGCCACCAACCCCCGGTTGGGAGTCCTCGCTGGGGGAACGAGAGGGTGCGACTCGCTGGAAGGAGGTATCTGATGGTTGTTTTGTGAATATACACCAAAACAGTAGCTCGGACTACCCGTCCTTCTTGGAGTCTCTGGGTTGCGTTCTGGAAATAGCGCCGACTGGGATCTCTATAGTTCCCAAGTGGTGCTTTGTTGTTGGACTTCTGTGCTAGCCATGGATTGGCCTCAACAAACATCATGTTGGAGCATAGGGCGGTTCATGAATGTACTCGGTACCAGAACATCCTAGGCCAAAGTTCTATGATCGGCTTTGTGGCCGTATCATCAGATCTGTGGCCGTATATCTTGGACACTTGGGTGAAGAGAGGAGCAGAGCTGTCAACTGATCACCACCTGGTGGTGAGTTGGATCAGATGTCTGCCGGACAGACCTGGTGAACCCGAACGTGTACCGAGGATGAACTGGGTACGTCCGGCTGAGGCCCCGAATCCAAGGTCTTAAACTCCACCTCCACAAATGTTTTCGTGCATCCCGGGACAGGCTGGGGACATGGAGTCCAAGCGGGTCATTTTCAAAGAATCCATTGTGGAACTGGCTGCTAGGAGTTGTGGTTAGAAGGTCTTCGGTGTCTGTCGTGGCGGTAACCGAAGAACAGAAGAAGAAGGCCTTTCGGGCTTTGTCGGCCCATTGGTCTCCAGAAACAGCAGACGGGTGCTGGTTGGCCAGATCAGCTGCAGCAGTTGACCGAAGCAGAACCACAGATATGGGATGTGTTCGGGGGAGAATATGGTGAAGGACTTTCGGGTTGGCCACAAGGAAGGTCAGTCAGGGAGTGTCGACCAAAAGATGCTATTTTGTTGCATCATGGGGAATGTGGGATCCAATGTTTTAGGAGCTCGACCATTGACTGTATATAAGAAGTGGACGTAGTCAACGTGACGTCACCCATTGGTCTGTGGACTGACGTTATGAAGCTTTGAGGTCGGCGATTTTGCCATCGCCATCTTGGATTACGAACATCACCAAGATTTCTTTTCAATGACAGGAAGTGACCATATGTGGACTGAGGAGTGACGTAGAGACATATACGTCTCTGGTAGAGACCTGTCAATCACCGTGTAGCCCCGCCCTAAAGCATCCCCTGCTTTATGGTCTGTGTGACTCTAAATGGACCATAATGTACTAAATGAACATCATGCTGTATTGAAGAAGACTTGAAACTAGAGATTGAGACCATAAACTCATGTTTACAATGTTTAGAGAATGAGAGTTTTAAGACACTTCCGCATCGGCTTCACTCGGCAGAACCGGAAGTTGCCGTCTGAGCTCGACCCACTCAATAATTCAGAATATATCTCTAACAAATTCTATTTCCTCTGACTTCATGAAAGTGCGATACTAAGTCTTGTGCCACAATCTTAATTCCTGCTTTGACCATGTGTTTGTTCCTCAGGTGTGGGCTTGTCAGGTGCGAGCCACAGGAATGATGTACGCCTGCAAAAAGCTGGAGAAGACTCACGTGAAGAAGAGGAAAGGAGAAACCATGGCTCTCAACGAGAAACGGATCCTGGAAGGACTGAACAGCAGATTTGTGGTGAGAGTAACATAGTTATGCTTTCTGTTTAACACTCAATCAGTCTGGTCAAATTTCATTATTTTTCTATTGTCAACAGCCCGAATAAAAAGATTAAAAGCATCCTATGAACAGGTATAAACAACACTGTGGTTTACTTTGACTCAATCCCTCGTACACCGTCCTGCTGCCACAGATACTCACTACAGCACCATAATGTGGATTAATCCGCCGCTAAAAGTAGTCCCAAAGAAAAGCACTATTTCCTCTATCTAGTACAGTAAGTACTAGATTGTGTTCGGAGATTACTGATGGAGCCGTTTGTGACGTCCTCAGTAAAAATGAGCTTAGAGCCACAGACAGGAAGTCAGAAAGTATTAAAGGATTGTCTAATATGTTGTTAGTTTTGGGTTTTTTTAGAGGATTTGTTGCCTCATACTCAGAAGCTCTGACCTGATCTACACCTCAACATGCACTTCCTCCTTCTCCGTTTAGGTGAATCTGGCGTACGCCTACGAGACCAAGCACACGCTCTGTATGGTTCTGACCATGATGAGCGGCGGGGACTTGAAGTTTCACATTCATAACATCGGGGTGCCCGGCCTGGACATGGACCGGGTGTGCTTCTACGCTGCACAAGTCTGCTGTGGTTTAATGCACCTCCACCAGAATTCAATATTATATAGGTCAGTGTGTTTCTGCATTACAGCAACATGAAGGAAGTATTGAGATGCTTTAGTTCAGTGAAAGTATTGTGAAAATACTCCACGACAAGTAGAAGTCCTGCTCGTGCATTCATGTAAAAGCAGGATTTTACTGTTGTAGTTGGTTGAGCTTGAGCTCATTTTAAACTATTAACTAATGATTATTTTCATTATGGATCGATTGATAGTTTAGTTTGTAAAAATAGAGAAAATAGAGAGAAATGGCATCAAAATGACCCATATTAACATTATTACTCATACATTATAATCATTACTAATACATTAACATTATTAACATAAATACTAATATTTAATACATTATTTAATCCAAGGAATGATTTTACATGAAAAATAACTTAAACCATGAAAACTGCTTCACATTAATCTCCTTTAATTGACTTATTGTCTCAGCTGTACTCGTTTAAGTTTTATTCATGATAATACGTCATATTCTATAAATTCTTTGAATGTTTTGTAGCAAACGTCTTGGTTTTAAAAGTATCTGAAGCTGTCCAATAAATCATTTAGTCTAAAAGACTAAATGTTATTTGATTTATTGGTGTATTTGCTACGGTGCAGTGCACATTAATAAAGCATTGCTGTAAGTACCTCACATATGTACAGTACTTCAGTACATTTATTGAACTACATTCTATCACTGATTATGAGCGATGCATTGAGTCCCGTCTCTGAATCAAATGCTGTTTTTCATCTTCCAGGGATATGAAACCAGAAAACATTTTGTTGGATGACAACGGTACGTGCAGCCACATAAACACAGACTGTTTGTTCTCAGTGCAGTAACTTGATCTACAGCCACAACTAACGTTCAATTAGAGACAACAGACAAGAAGATCACATTCCAGACTCCTGTGACACGCCGACAGCCTGTACTGCTGGCTCGGCTATTTCTAGCTCTGAAAATGAATCTGAATTATGTAATTATAACATTCGAGTTAAGCCAGACGATCGTGTTGGCGTATTGTGACTGATGGACTCAAACAAAGGCAGGTGGAGGAAGTGAAATGTCTGCGGTGATCAGGTGTGGTGTCTATTTTAAGACGCGCTCTCTGCACCTGTTGCTTCATTCCTGGCAGCATGTTTGGTCTTACGTGTTTTCATTAAAGGTTAGAGTTGTCACTTGGTTATTGCTCCTCTGTAGAGCCGGAGGGGAGAGTGAAGAATGATCAAAAGGGAAAGTACATCATAATAACAGCATCTTCTGCTGGTGTTTGTTCCCTCAAGGACACATCCGCATCTCTGACCTCGGCCTGGCTGTGAGCTTATCTGAGGGGAGTGTGGTGCGCGGCACGGTGGGCACGCTGGGGTACATGGGTATGTATGAGCCTCACAGTACCCCCCCTAAAGTACCCCCTAAAGCCTTGAACCCTGAACCCTCAGGGACTGATCTGACACCACCTGTTAAAGGGTTGAGTGTGAAAGACTGTAATAATAATAATAACTTTATTTATGCAGCACCTTTAAAAACAGAGTTTACAAAGAGCAAGACAATAACAACAACAACAGAAAGCTCAGTGAGACAGTCGATATGATCTAAATAAACTAAGAAATAAATAAAAGAAAATAAATACAAATTTGTCAAATAATTTAGTAAAATGAGGTTCAACCTCTCCTTGTTGCCCCACAGACCCTCTGGTATATATAATATAATATATAATATAATATAATAACTACGTAAGATGTGAGACAAACACTATTCTGGTGATCTATTTACTGAGTCTGATCTAAATTGTCTTGTGTTTTTGAATTTATGTATTATTTACTGAATAAACTATTTTTCCTGGTGATTTTGTTTCTCCGGGTGTTTGTTGTTGTAATACTCATTTCTGCCACAAGAGGCTGAATCACAACGCAACCTCACCTCATGTTCTGAGTGAATGTGAACATAAATGTGAATACCTTGTGTTTAGAGTTCAAGGAGAAATGAGAACTCACCTGGAAGAGAACATGAATGTCTTTAGCGCTCTTTAGAACATGGAGTAGTGGTGCACATCGCCCTCTAGTGGCCAGCATGAGTATTACAACAACAAACAAACAAAAACGTTTTCAAAGATTCATTTTGTTAAAGGAAATTAAAAAGAATATCCGGTCGAAAAACGTTTTTTTCACCCGTTCTTCACACATGAACACAGAAAACTATTGAGATCAGACTCAGAGTGGATCAACCATTCTGTCTCTCGCTTCCTCTCAGGGCTTCCGTATGATCATCGACAAATGTTAAATTATTTTGTTGGCCAAAATGTCACACAGACAGGAACGTACAGCATGTTATCATCAGCGTAGTGATGTTACCAATGAATTACTTCCAGAGAGGTCGGACCTCTTCTGAACGGTTATAGAACTCCAACTACAGAAATACAAATCAAGTCTTATTGTTGAATACGAGGGAGTAAACGATACCACAGATATAGAGCATATTAAAATCCTCCATAGCCCCCAAAGAACCAGTTCTGAAACATGAGATCAGTTTCAACTTTATGAGCAATTTTAACAAAATTTCCAAATGAGAATGTTTTGAGTTTTGTTGATTTTTGCGTCCTTGTCTCAGCTCCCGAGGTGATCGGCCACAAGCATTACGGGATGAGCGTTGACTGGTGGGGCCTCGGCTGCCTGGTTTACGAGATGACGGCGGGGCAGCCTCCGTTCCGGAAGCGAGGAGAGCATCCTAAACCCGCCGAGATGGAGCGGAGGATTCAGAGAGAAGAGCTCGAATACGGCGACAACTTCAGCAAGGATGTGAAAGCCCTCTGCTGCTCGGTACGTCCAGAAACCGGATCAGATTCTAAGTCTTTTCATAGAATCCTGACAGGTTTTCCTTTCCCTGTGTTGCAGCTGCTCACCAAGGACCCAAAAGAGAGGTTGGGGTGCCGGATGTCGGGGGGGAGAGAAGTACAGTCGCATCCTTTCTTCCAAAAAGTCAACTTCAGGATGCTGGAGGCCGGACTCGTTGAGCCTCCGTTCAAACCAGATGCAAGTGCACTAAGTATTTATCCATCTTAAAGATGGTTCAGACACAAATACCGTCCCTGCACATGTGTGTCTTACATGTTGTGATTCATCCTGTTCCATAATCATCCGACGCTGGTACAAATACAGACAAACGACGGGGACATAGAGATATATTCAGCACGGTTACAGTGTGACACTAATTCAAGACATTAAAACTCATTTATATATCTATATAATCTGCAAAGTAACTCAAGTTATTAAATACATGTAGTGGAGTCAAAAGTACAATATATTTCCCTCTTAAATTCAGAAGAATTGAAGTACCAGAAAATAGAAATACATTTAAAAACAATCATGTACAGAACTTGAGTAACTTTCCACCATCGGTGGAAGATAAATGGTGTTTTCTGATGAATAAGAAGGAAAGCTGAGCTCGGCTCCGTGCTTACTGTCAGCTGTGACGCGTTTCCTCCTGCAGCCCAGACTGGTGTACTGCAGCGACGTGCAGGACATCGAGGAGTTCTCCACGGTGAAGGGAGTCACTCTGGACCAGAAAGACAACGACTTCTACTCCAAGTTCATCACAGGCAGCAACCCTATAACGTGGCAGAATGAGGTATAAATGTATTAGTACGAGTCATTTCTGAGTTAGATCAGGATGTCTGTCCAGAATCTATGAACCTCACCTTCTTCTTCTTCTTCCTCCTCCTCCTCCTCCTCCTCCTCAGATGATTGAGACGGGATGTTTCAGGGAGCTCAATCAGTTCGGTCCTGATGGATCTCGATCTCCTGACCTCAACTTCTCCCAGAGCCCCGACCATCCCAAACGCAGCCTGCTGGACCGACTCTTACGCAGACAAGTAAGAACATACTACTGCAGTCAAAGTACTATTACCACACTGTGATGTAGTGAAGTAAAAAGTACAATATGTACCTCTGAGATGTAGTGGAGGAGAAATATAAAGTAGCAGGAAATAGAAATGCTAAAGTACCTTGAATTGGAACTTCAGTACAATACTTGAGTAAAAGTACATTTGTCCACCACTTGTGTACTGTTTGTCAAAGTGTGTGTTTTATCTGAATACTTCTTTCCTCCAACAGCAACCTCCAGATGCGTCAGATGAAAGCAAACAGGGACTGATCTCCAGTGAGAACTACATGAAGTCAGGGATGGTGAGCACGTCATTGTGAGGACGTGACGGACGGACAGACAGACAGACGGAGAGACAGACAGACGGAGAGACAGACGGACGAACAGAGAAACGGATGGACGGATGGACGGACGGACGGACAGCTTTAAAGACACTAAACACACCCAGCGGAGCAGCAACGATCGGTTCTTGTAAATCACAGCGTAGCATAAGCTCCTTTGTGTTTGTTTGACAGCTACGATACATCAGCAATACTTAGGTTAAAAAAAAAAAAAGATGTATAATTTTACTTCTCGCGCACCAACACGTCCATTGTTTAAAATGAAATGATTTGTTAAGTACTTGAATTTTGACACAAGTAGCACAGTGTGAAGATACTTCATACGACAGTAGAACGATTCTCACCAGTTGTGCTGTTTTAGCCGAAGCAGCTCAATAAACAAGATTTTTTTTTGTTTTAATGTGTGGTGGTTCAGATTCTATTTATGTACCATAAACTGTATATGAGAAGTGGACGTAGTCATCGTGACGTCACCCGTTGTTTTGTGGACTAACGTTATGAAGCCACGAGTTCATAGATTTTGCCGAGGCCATCTTGGATTACGGCCATCACCATGTTGTTGTTTTTCGCAACCAGTGAACAGGAAGCGACCATATGTGGACTGAGGAGGAGTGACGTAGAGACGCTGTATACGTCTCTGGTAGA